CAGGGACGTTTTGTGATAAAAAGCCATAAAAGAAAGAGTTGGAGGTGATTAAAAATGAATTTTATGAGTTTAAGTTCAATTTAATTTAAGTCTTCTTAATTTTTTTAATTTTTAATATTGTAAAGTCAACATATCGACGAAAAACTTATTGATATATGACAACAAAAACATTACCTATATAAAATATCTTAGGTATTGTAACATTTACAGTGAAATATCAAAACCTGTTAGTCTACTTGGGCAGGTGTCATCGTACGGATGGGTGGAGAGGGCATTTGATGTATCAAATGCTTTCTTATGTCAGGGCATGTACCTTCTCTTAATGAGCATGGCAAGTCGAACCCATCCAGACCCAAGTATCTTGTTGGAGGGCAAAATATCTTATTTCTCCCATAAATACTCTACACCTACATCCATACAAAGGTAATAACTTGAAGGGCTTTTTAGATTCTCGTGTTTTTTGTTTTAGATGTAGGCCCTTTGTATATTTATTACTTTTTTTGTTGTGTCGATTTTACCCTTTGAGGTAAATAAGCAAAATACATTGAAAATCTAAATTTAATGCATTATTTCCTTGTAATTGAATTCCATAATTTAAATTTTGAATTCTTTCTTTGATAATATTCCTAATATATGGATAAAATACAATTTAATTAATAAAAGTAAAGACCCTCATATTATACCAATCGATCAGACAAGCACCCACATTAAATTATGTACCTCGCATACAGGTAAATAGTGTTATTATTAGCAACGAAAATTACAAAGAATAAATCATGTTGCCTATAAGTTAGGAACATAAATTAGAAGACTACCTATAAGTTAGATACAAAAATAGTCAAAATAAAATTGTATGTTACCCATTAAAAAAAAAGGTACATAAAATACTATTACACATTGTTAAAAATATGAAAAAACATATATATACCTATACAATAGGCAATATGACATAAATGACTATTACTCGATTCAAGTCATAAGGGGTAACAATGGAACAAAAAATGATTTTAAAAATAAAATAATAAAAAGATTACATCATAAAATATTAAAAAAAGAAATGTAATTCTATGTTGCACAAAAATCAAAGGACTTGGATCAAAGTCACAAAATCCGACGATTAAACCCAACTCCTCAATAGGAATTTGGATCTATATCAACTTTTCGGGTCAGGTGGAGTCTGAGAGTGAGAGTGGGGTTTGATGAGTTGGGGAGGAGAGATGGGTTTGTGGGTTTGTTGGGGATGAGGAAAGTCTGAAACTCAACAGAGCAAGCTCTCATATTTTTGTTTTGGATTGAGCTTGCTCACTTTTTTGGGGAAGTTTTTTTTTTTTGGGTCGAATTTTGGTAAGTTAGATATCCCTTTGGTGGGACTTTTGCTGCGATAGATTGATCTGACGATTATACCCCTAAATTTAACAAAATTTTTGACAGAAGGACTATTTACGAGCACTCATATTAACGTTAGGGACCATAGGTGATACAAAAAAACTTTAAGGATGCAACCTGATAGTTTCACAAACGTCAGGGACGTTTTGTGATAAAAAGCCTAAAAGTAAAGACCCACATATTATACCAATCTATCAGACAAGCACCCACATTAAATTATGTACTTGACATACAGGTAAATAGTGTTATTATTAGCAACGAAAAATACAAAGAATAAATCATGTTGCCTATAAGTTAGGAACATAAATTAGAAGACTACCTATAAGTTAGATACAAAAATAGTCAAAATAAAATTGTATGTTACCTATAAAAAAAAAGGTACATAAAATACTATTACACATTGTTAAAAATATGAAAAAACATATATATACCTATACAATAGGCAATATGACATAAATGACTATTACCCGATTCAAGTCATAAGGGGTAACAATGGAACAAAAAATGATTTTAAAAATAAAATAATAAAAAGATTACATCATAAAATATTAAAAAAAGAAATGTAATTCTATGTTGCACAAAAGTCAAAGGACTTGGATCAAAGTCACAAAATCCGACTATTAAACCCAACTCCTCAATAGGAATTTGGATCTATATCAACTTTTCTATAACTTCAAAAGCTGCTACATGTTAGTCTACTTCAAAAGCTGCATTGCATCCTGCTTACAATTATAAATTGGAGTCTCCTCTCCTCAAGCTGCTACAGAAACAGAGCTTAAACTGATATCATGAGCCTTTCCAACTCCATTTCTCTTGTGTTTTTCTCATCTTTTTGCATCCATGCTCTCATTCTTCACTCAATCTGTCTTTGCTTGGCCCTTCCCGGAAATGAGACGGATCGACTAGCCTTGCTTGAAGTCAAGGCTAGAATACCCAGCGACCCCTTTGGAGTCCTGGCTTCATGGAACGAAACCAACCACTTTTGCGGTTGGCATGGCGTTACATGTGGTCGTCGTCACCAGAGGGTCACCAGTTTGTCCCTCAAGTCGTTGAAACTAGCAGGCTCTATATCACCCCATGTTGGAAACTTGAGCTTTTTGAGAGCACTTCATCTCCAAAACAACAGCTTCAGCCATGAAATACCCCCAGCAATTGGCCATCTGCGCAGATTGGAAGATCTACGACTGGACAACAATTCACTAACCGGTGAAATTCCCTCTAATATATCAGGTTGCTCTCCACTCATAGAGATCGTTCTTGGTTACAATTTTCTGGTTGGAAAAATTCCAGAGGAGCTTGGCACCTTGTCCAAGCTAAGACTTATTGTCATTCAGAATAACCACCTTACGGGAAGTGTCCCTTACTCTTTTGGCAACTTATCTTCTCTTGAAGCTCTCTATGCATCTTCTAATAATTTAACTGGGAGTATTCCAGATATTTTTGGCCAACTGACCAATTTAAGTACTCTTGTATTGGATCTAAATGGCTTATCAGGTGTGATCCCTCCCTCATTTTTCAATCTCTCTTCTATCACTAATTTTGGTGCTTCTTATAACAAAATTCAAGGGACTTTGCCCTCAAACTTCCGCGTTGCCTTCCAAAGTCTCCAATTTTTTCGTATCAGCTATAACCAAGTTACTGGACCCATCCCTGCTTCAATATCAAATGCCTCAAATCTAGTTGCACTTGGACTGGGAGTAAACCAACTGCATGGAAAAGTCCCTTCTATGAAAAATTTGATTAGCCTTGAGGAGTTTGTTCTTCCTGGAAATCAGCTTGGAAGTGAGGGAATTGATGACTTGACCTTTCTTTGCCATTTGACTAATGCCACCCGTTTAAGAATACTGCAAATTGGTAATAACACTTTCGGTGGTATGCTACCTCAATGCATAGCAAACTTGTCGTCTTCTATTCAATTCTTCCATGTAAGTGACAATAAAATATTCGGAAGCATCCCAAATGGCATTGGAAATCTGGTTAACTTGGAGAGCGTTCAGCTGTTCGCGAACCGGTTTTCAGGTCACATTCCCCCTCATGTAGGCAAGCTTCAGAGGTTATATGAACTATCTATGAATAACAACTTTCTCTCCGGGAATGTTCCATCCTCATTGGGAAATTTAAGTCGATTAACAATATTATCTCTATATGGCAACAAACTTCGAGGCAATGTTCCTTCAAGTTTGGCAGAGTGTCAAAATTTGATGGTCTTATCTCTTGACGCTAACGATTTTAACGGAATCATACCCCAAGAAATCAGTGGTCTCTTGTCCTTATATGATTTCAGTTTTTCTCAAAATCATTTCACTGGTTCCCTTCCCCGGGATATAGGAAAGTTAATAAATCTACAGTATTTAGTGATCTCTGGAAACAAGTTATTTGGTGAAATTCCGCCAAGCCTTGGTAGCTGTATTAGATTAGAGTATCTAGACATGGCTGAAAACTTCTTCCTGTTGGAAAATTGGCTTGCATAAAGGATACAAAATTTCGGACTAGCGACCGGTCGCCTGCTATTAGCGACCGGTCGTTTGAGGCAGAGTCGAAGTCTGAAGCTATGTCGACTAGCGACCGGTCGCCAGCTATTTGCGACCGGTCGTTTTCTGGCAGAGTCGAAGTCTGGAGGTTCTGTGAAAAGCGACCTTGAGGGCAGCATACCAATCAATGGAATTTTCAAGAATGCAAGTGCCACATCAGTGGAAGGAAATAGTAAACTTTGTGGCGGCACTCCTGAATTTCATTTGCCAAAATGCAGAGTTCCACACAAAAGAGGACTGAGTCCAACCATGAAATTGATAATCTCTCTGGTTTGTGGGATACTGGGAGTCATTTTGGTACTAACATTCTTGTACCTTCAATGCTTACGAAAGGGGAAAAAGGAAAGCGCTTCAAGTGATTCAGACAAATTTCTCAAGGTGTCTTATCAAAGCCTTCTAAAAGCTACTGATGCATTCTCCTCTACCAACTTGATCGGCATGGGCAGTTTTGGGTCGGTCTATAAAGGAGTACTTGAAGACGGTGGAACAACAATTGCCATCAAGGTTTTCAATCTCGTTCGTCGTGGAGCCTACAAAAGTTTCACTGCTGAGTGTGAGGCTTTGAAAAATATAAGACACCGTAATCTTGTGAAAGTACTCTCAGTGTGTTCAGGTTCTGACTATAGCGGTAATGATTTCAAGGCCTTAATTTATGAGTTCATGGTTAATGGAAGTTTAGAGGAATGGTTGCATCCTGCTGGAACAAATGGAGAGATAAATGATGGGCAAAGGAGCTTAAATTTTTGTCAAAGATTGAACATAGCGATTGACGTTGCTATGGCGTTAGAGTATCTCCATCATCATTGTGAGACGCCAATTGTTCACTGTGACCTTAAACCCAGCAACGTGCTTCTGGACGATGATATGATTGGACATGTAGGTGACTTTGGGTTGGCAAAATTCCTCCCCATAACTTCGCAAACCAGTTCTGGTAATCAATCAAGCTCGCTCGGAATAAAAGGAACAATTGGTTATACTCCTCCAGGTACATAATCTTTCCTGTTTCATTTCCTTAACATTTTTTCAGTATTTATGTTAATATTTGAAACATTAAATCTGAGAACACTTAATTAGATTTTTTTTTTGGGGGGGTTTTAAATTGAGCAAACGCAGAGTATGGTATGGGAGATGTAATAAAACAAGGTCATCACACCCTATGTGGGTGAGTGGGAGATGTAATAAAACAATGATTATGCACTAATCCTTGTTGAAAATCTGTTTCAAGGAACTTTAACCCTTCATAACTTTGTCGAGGCCGCTGTGCCTGAGCAATTGGTAGAGATTGTGGATCCCGTTCTTGTTCAGGAAATGGTGCAAGCGGAGATGAGCACTATCAATCATCATCATCATAATGAGGATAACGCAAGGCTTCGCATGAAAACCGAAGAATGCTTGATTTCAATTTTAGAAATTGGTCTTGCTTGCTCTGCAGAATTGCCTGGAGAAAGGTTGGACATTAGTGATGTTGTGGCACAGAAGAGTCAGATCAGAAAGAAGCACACTGTGCAGCATTAGCATGTAATATAGTGCTATTGTTTCCTTACTCATATTTATTTTCCATCTAGAATTTCCCTCAGCCGCCGGCCCCATTGGTATTGGTGTTTGTAATGACCCTGGGCTTGAATTATAAATGCATTATCGTCTTAGTCATTCACATGACACAACTATCTTATTACATATGGTATACGCACTCACTGAGTCACTCACACGCCACTTTAGATAGTCTGGATATATTTTGGACCAATTACATTCCTACTTTAATCTTAATCGATGGACCCTACATTTAGTGGAGGTAACTATATCTCAACTATGGACAAAAAAGAAAGGCTTAAATGTCGAAATGGTCCCTGTGTTTTACCTTATCGGCCAATTTAGTCCCCGTGCTATTAATTTGGCCAATTTAGTCCCTATGTTTGTATCTGTTAATAAATTTGATCCTTTCAGTCAAAATTATGTTAAAACCTAAAAAAAAGGACATTTAAAATTAATTTAAAAATCTGTAATTAATTATAAAGATTTAAACTCAAATAATAATAATGCTAAAATGATTAAAACCCACACAACCTCAACCTCAAATGGTCTCGATTCCTGTAGGGAAAAAAAAAAGGTTCTTAGTCGAATTGATGCCTACTCTTTTCTTGCTGCAATTTTTCTTCTCTCTTATGTTTTAGATTTTCTCATACTCTACCCTTCATCTCTCTCTCATCTCCAATCCATTGGCCTGAATGTCGTCGACTTTTGCTGCAGTGAGGATGATCAATTGGCGGTAGAGCCATTAAGGTTACGGTGACCTGCTATGAAGATCTTCGTGATTTGTCACACAGAGAGAGAGAGAGGAGTTGTTGTGGTTTAGGTGGGGTTGGAGTGGTGGTGAGGGTGGCTATGGGTTTGGGGTTGGAGTAGTGGTGGTGAGGGTGGTTGGGTTTGGGAGGTGGTTGAGGTGTGTCCGTGAAATTGGGTAAGGTGAAATTTAAAAAAAAATATATTCCATTTTCAGATTGAATTTAAAATTTTATAATCAATTACAATTTTTTTAATTAATTTTATATATTTTATATTTTATATTTTTAAAGGAATGGACCACATTGACTAACATATAAAAACACAAGAATCAAATTGGCCAAATTGATAACACATGGACTAAATTGGCCTATGAGATAAAACACAGGGACCATTCTAACATTTAAGCCAAAAAGAAAAGAATCCTATTTTCAACGATGAAAATAATGTTCATCTTTGAAAATGTGAAGTCCTTGAAGAATTACATACCACTAGACTAGGGTAATTATTTGCATCTTAGTGTTGAAAATAACTGTACTATCTCTATGGGAGAGAACTTTTCTTTGGTGTCGGCAAATGCCAAATACACGCTGATAGCTTTCGATATTGGTCATGGCCAGCTTTTTTTTTTTTTTGGACGAAAGGTCATGGCCAGCTAGTCTTGGAAAATACTAGTTTTGTATCAAATTCCAACTCACAAAGTTGGAAAAGTATATACTTACCCAGTACACTTTGCATTGGTCAAGCACTATAGTTTTCCGATTTTTTGTAAGTTGGAATTGGATGGCATATGTTGCCAGGGAGTAAGCTACTTTATTACGCCATCTAGAGACAAACTTAAAAGAAAGAGTTAATGACTGAAATGGTCCCTCAACTATTGCTCTAATATCATTTTGATTCACCAATTAAAATTTTCATTTGAACCGTCTTTCAACATTTTTTTTTGTATCAAGATGGTCCTACCATTAAAGTCTGTCAATTTTATTGTTAAATTGAGGGGTCAAAATGTCTCTATAAATTAAAATAGTAATAAATAATTAAAAATTAAAGGAAACTATTATAAAACTTAGAAATTTTTTTAAAATTGAATCTCACCAATGACATGGCTTTTCTTTTTTTTTCGTGAGATTGACCTAACAATTAATATAAAAAAATTCTCTATTGTTTAAATTAATTAAAAAAATTAAAATCGCATAAATATAAAAATAAAATAACAATTTTTTAAAAAGAGAAAAAAATAATTAAAAAAATTAAAGGACACTATTATAGGAACTTGTACCTAATTTTAAAATTGAAAAAATTGAATCTCACCACCAACATGGCTTTTTTTGCTGACATGGACTTAAGAAGTAATAATTTTTTTCTCTATTGTTTAAATTAATTTTAAAAAAATTTAAATCAGATAAATACAAAAATAAATAAGAATAAAATTGACAGACTTTGACAGTAGGACCATCTTGATACAAAAAAAAGAGTTGAAAGTAGGTTCAAATGAAAATTTTAATTGGTGGACCAAAATGATACTGGAACAATAGTTGGGGGACCATTTTAGTCATTAACCCTTTTCTAAATAATATTTTACTTTTTGGGTAAATTACTCAAATGGTCCCCAAACTTGTACGCGATTTACATTTTGGGGCCTCAATTAAATTATTCGTTCAAATGGTCCATCAACTCTATATTA